CAGCCCCAGAATCCGCGCCCCCAAACCCCAACCCCCAACCCCCAACCCCAAACCCTAAACCCTAAACCCTAAACCCTAAACCCTAAACCCTAAACCCTAAACCCTACCGGGCTGGCTGTCGAGGGGCCTGGTCTCTCCGAGCATTTTGCGGGCCTGTTTGACCACGTCGGTGCCCTGCCAAACCATGGCGACGACGGGGCCGCTGCTCATGTAGTTCATCAAAACCCTAAAAAAGGGTTTGTCGCGCAGCTCGGCGTAGTGCTGCTCGAGGGTTTGCGAGCTAGGGTTTAGCAGCTTCAAAGCCACCAACGTAAACCCTCGCTGCTCAAACCGCCGCAGCACTTCGCCCAGCAGCCCGCGCTGCAGCCCGTCGGGCTTCAGCATGATGTACGTGCGTTGCTGCTGCGGGCTCATTCTAGGGTTTAGGGTTTAGGGTTTAGGGTTTAGGGTTTAGGGTTTGGGGTTTGGGGGGGGCTGCGCCGCGGACCCGGGGCTCCACCGCCGCCTAAGGGTTTAGGGTTTAGGGTTTAGGGTTTAGGGTTTAGGGTTGTGCGCAGAAACAAACAGCTGCTCAGTGCCCGCTGCCAGACACGCCCCACAGCTGCTGCTGCTGCTGCTGCTGCTGCTGCTGCTGCGGCTGCGCCAAAAGCCCCAGCCCCGAAGCTCCTCAAAGCCCTGAACCCTAAACCCTAAACCCTAAACCCTAAACCCTAATTTATAAAGCAAATACAAAACCCTCAACTCCAAGGGAAAAAGAAACTCGCCATTCAGCTTGCCCGTGCAGCACACCGGAGCTGCAGTTACCTGGGGAGCCCAGGGTTTAGGGTTTAGGGTTTAGGGTTTAGGGTTAAGGGTTTAGGATTTAGGGTTTAGGGTTTACGGTTTAGGGTTTAGGAGCGAGGGTTTAGGGTGTGCGGCTTAGGCACGAGGGTTTAGGGTTTAGGGTTTGGAAACAGTAAGACACCTGGCGCGACGCTGTTGGCGCACACCCGTGCATGCCTCAAACCCCAAACCCTAAACCCTAAACCCTAAACCCTAAACGAGAAGGCAGCAAGATCTAAATCAACAACGGCAGCAGAAAGAGCAGCAACAACTAAACTCAGCAGAGCAGCAGCCGCAAGGGTTGCAGCAGCAGCAGCAGCAGCTAGCGCAGCAGCGCCACCGACAGCAGCAGCAGCAGCAGCAGCAGCAACAGCAGCAACAATAACAGCAACAGCAAAGGCAACAGAAGCAACAGCAACAACAACAACTCCAGCAACCTCAACAGCAGCAACAGCAGCAACAGCAGCTACAGCAGCAGCAGCAGCAGCAGCAGCAGCAACAGCAGCAGCAGCAACAACAGCAGCAGCAGCAGCAGCAGCAGCAACAGCAGCAACAGCAACAGCAGCAGCAGCAGCAGCAATGTCAGAAGTCTTTGAGGCCCAGCACAGGGGCCTAGACCTCTGCGTGCAGCGGCTGAGCTCTTCTCTTTACGGCCTCGTAGACGCTGCGCTCGTAAACCCTAAACCCTAAACCCTAAACCCTAAACCCTTATTTGCTTCCAAACCCTAAACCCTCCTCCACCGTTCTCAACTCGAATCGCTAAGCTCCGCTTTATCAGCCAATTTAGGGTTTCTTTCGGTGCATAAGCTAAAGCACTTGCATCGAAAACTAGGGTTTAGGGTTTAGGGTTTAGGGTTTAGGGTTTAGGGTTTAGGGTTTGTTGTCAGGTGAGCGAGGACGGCCACCTCCCGACTCTGGCGATTGACAGCTTCTTGATGGAAGTGCACGTCATCAGCATCGTCAGTTGCTGCTGCTGCTGCTGCTGCTGCTGCTGCTGCTGCTGCTGCTGCTGCTGCTGCTGTTGCTGCTGCTGCTACTGTTGCTGCTGCTGCCGTTGCTGTAACAGGGGCTGTTGCATCAGCTGCTGTTGCTGCTGCTGCCGGTCTTGCTGCTGCTGCTGCTGCTGCGGCTGCTTCCCTCTGTTTCCCCTTCTCTCGTTGCATGCGACTCTCACTGCTGCTGCTGCTGCTGCTGCTGCTGCTGCTGCTGCTGCTGCTGCTGCTGCAGATAAGCTCTGCCCGCTGGCTGTTGTCTCTTGCTGCTGACGTCGACGCCAATTTGCTGCTGCAGTCGCCCAGAAGAAACAGAGAAGAAGATCTGCAGCAGCACTTAAAAGAAATAGAAAAGCTGCAGCAGCAGCTGCAGCAAGAAGCAGCAGAGGGGAGTCTCCCGTTCCCCACTATTGTGCTGCAGCAGCAGCAGCAGCAGCAGCAGCAGCAGGTTAAGGAGCAGCGGGCGCAGCAGCAGCAGGCACAGCAGCAGCTCGTGGGGAACGAGGAGCAGCAGCAGCAGCACAGCACGCAGCAGCAGCTGCAGCAGCAACCGCAGCAGCAGCTGCTGCTGCAGCAGCAACAGCAGCAGCAGCAAGAGCAGCTTCCGCAGCAGCAAGAACAGCTGCTGCTGCAGCAGTAGCAGCACCTTTTTTAGTGGCAGCAGAGGCAGCAGCCCTGGCAGCAGCAGCAACTTGGATTTTATTTTTTAATTTCTTTTTTTTAGTTCATCTTTGTTTCAATTATTCAAAAGTTTTATTTTAATTTATTTTCTTTTTCTTTTCATTGAAAGCTGCTGCCTTTCATTCAGGTGTATATCCACTCTCCCCAACCAGCAGCTGCCTATACACCCCAAGAGCTGCCTATACACCCCAAGAGCTGCCTATACACCCCAAGAGTTGCCTATACACCTCAAGAGCTGCCTATACACCTCAATAGCTGCCTATACACCTCAATAGCTGCCTATACACCTCAACTGGCTCCTTATATACCTCAAAAGCTGCCTATACACCTCAGTAGCTGCCTATACACCTCAACTAACTGCCTATACACCTCAAGAGCTGCCTATACACCTCAGTAGGTGCCTGTACACCCCAGTAGCTGCCTATACACCTCAAGAGCTGCCTATACACCCGGCGGCGCGCGTTTTCTGAGGCGTATTATAAATAATATAAATATAATAAATAAATTATAAATAATATAAATATAAATAAAATTGGAATTTAAATTTTAATAATAATTGAAATTGAAAGTTTGCGCAACTTTAAATGCAAATCAGTCACATCTGCTGCTGTTGCTGCTGCTGCTGCTGCTGCTGCTGCTGCGGCTTGAGGTGTACGTACACCCGAACAGGCATGCAGCTCAAGGAGCTGCGAGGTGTCTTTGGATTTAATTTTGTTTTTCTTTGGAGCAAAAAGAAAAAAGTGCAGCAGAATTTGCTGTGCGTGCCTTGGGTTTAGGGTTTAGGGTTTAGGGTTTAGGGTTTAGGGTTTAGTGTTCTTCAGGGTCTTCAGGAGTCTCTTCAGCCTCTGCAGGTGCTTCTGCGTCTTCTTCGTTTGCTTCCTCTTCCTGCTGCTGCTGCTGCTGCTGCAGCAGCAGCACGTTGATGTCCTCAGCAGCAAGAAGCTCTCCTTCCTGCAACAGCAGCAATTAATTTGTTTCTTCAAAACAAAATTTATTTTTAATTTAATTTAAAATAATTATTTTACTTAATTAAACTCATGCAGTCGGAGAACAAACACCGCTCCTGCAGCAGCAGCAGCAGCAGCAGCAGCAGCAGCAGCAGCAGCAGCAGCAGAAAGATCTAATCTGCTGCGGCCAGCTAGATATAAACAAACAACTAAATAAACAGACAAGTAAATGAATAAATAATAAATAATAAATAATAAATAATAAATAATAAATAAATAATAAAAAAATAAAAAATAATAACTTAAAACAATAAAAAATAAAAAATAAATATTAAATAATAAATAAAAATAAAAGCTAAAGGATTCAAAGAGTAAAATTGAAAAGCAAAAAAACAAACAAAAGAAGCAAATAAAGAAAAATAAATAAAATAAAATTAAATAAAATAAAGTAAAATAAAATAAATAAAATAAAATAAAATAAATAAAATAAAATAAAATAAATAAAATAAAGTAAAATAAAATAAATAAAATAAAGTAAAATAAATAAAATAAAATAAGCAAAATAAAATTAAATAAATAAAATAAAACAAATAAACAAAAAGCAAACCCTAATTTCTCTTTCCCGCTGCTGCTGCTGCTGCTGCCGCGTCTCTTTCAAATTATCTTCTTTTTTCATTTCTTTTCTTTCCGCAGCTTCTTGTCTTCTTTGCGCCAGCTGCAGCAAGCAGCAGCAAACTCCAGCATTTAATTCAGCAAAAAACGAATCCAGCAGCAGCAGCAGCAGCAGCAGCAGCTGCTGCTGCTGCTGCTGCTGCTGCGGGGGCTGCGGTTGTTGCTGCTGCTGCTGCGGCGGCGGTGGCGGCGGCTGCGGCGGCGGCTGCTGCTGCAGCTGAAGCTGCTGCTGCTGCGGCGGCGGTGGCTGCTGCTGCTGCGGCTGTAGCTGCTGCTGCTGCTGCTGTGGCTGCTGCTGCTGCTGCTGCTGCTGCTGCTGCTGCTGCTGCTGCTGTGGCTCACCAGTGCATCAAATGCTGCGACTTGCTTTTGCTTCTTTTCTACGTGAGCAGCAGCCTGTCTCTTGCGTCTGTGAAACATGCCAAACCACTGGTCTAGGGTTTAGGGTTTAGGGTTTAGGGTTTAGGGCTTAAGGTTTAGGGTTTAGGGTTTAGGGTTTAGAGCTTACGCAGCAATGAGGTTGTCCATCACGGAAGTCGAGGGGGCGAGAGCCGCGGCAATAAAGCCTGTGAAACATAGGTCAGATCTGCGGGGTTTAGGGTTTAGGGTTTAGGGTTTAGGGTTTAGGGTTTAGGGTTTAGGGTGTAGGGTTTAGGGTTTAGCAACTAAATGCTCAAGCATTCAAAGGTTCAGCGCCTTTGCGCTGTATGAGTCAGTGGCGCCTTGGTGCATAGGGGTTGGTGTTTAGGGTTTAGGGTTTAGGGTTTAGAGCTTAGGGTTTAGGGTTTAGGGCTTTGGTTTTAGGGTTTACGGACCTGCGATAACCTGCAAGTTCCTCTCTGTGTCTTTTGTGACCTGAAGGGGAAGGCAGAAGAGCATTAGGGTTTAGGGTTTAGGGTTTAGGGTTTAGGGCTTTGCGTTCAGCCAGCGTTTAGTGTTTAAGATCTAGGGTTTAGGGTTCAGGGTTTAGGGTTTAGGATTTATGGCTACTACTCTCAACCCAATTCTCCCCTTTGCTTTGCAGCCACGGGATAGGGTTTAGGGTTTAGGGTTTAGGGTTTAGCGTTGAGGGTTTAGGGTTTAGGGTTTGTACAAGTTGAATAGCGCGACGCTGGACTTTCGGCCACACGGAAATCTCGACTGCTGGCTGCGGCAGAAAATGCAAAAAGAGAAAATAAATTTAGAAATAAAAGACAATTGAATTAAATTTAAAACCACTAAATAAATAAATAAATAAATAAATAAATAAATAAATAAATAAATAAATAAATAAATAAATAGTGAACAAAAATCAAATAAATTAAAAACCTCCTTTGCCTCTTCTACACCGAAAAAAAGCGATTCTAGAGCTGCCTATACACCCCAACAGCTGCCTATACACCTCAACAGCTGCCTATACACCTCAACTAGCTGCCTATACACCTCAACAAGCTGCCTATACACCCCAACTAACTGCCAATACACCCCAGGAGCTGCCTATACACCTCAGCTAACTGCCTAAACACCTCAAGAGCTCCCTATACACCTCAAGAGCTGCCTATACACCTCAACTAACTGCCTATACACCTCGACTAACTGCCTATACACCTCAGCTAACTGCCTATACACCTCAAGAGCTGCCTATACACCCCAACTAACTGCCTATACACCTCAGTAACTGCCTGTACACCTCAACGAACTGTCTGTACAGCGGGTTGGCGGGCTGACGCTGGTGGACTTGGAAAAGAGTTTTTGTTCTTCCAGTTGTTTAATTGTTTCTTTTGCAAATCCGAAAAGTTTCTTTTTGGCCACTGCAAAGGCCAGGGCCTTCTGCGCAGCGAACTGCTGCAGCGCAGCGCGCGCGGCGCTTTCCCGCAGTCGCCGCGCCTGCCCGCAAACCCTAAACCCTAAACCCTAAACCCTAAACCCTCAACCCCAGCCCTCGCGCAGCAGCGTCCACTAAGAGCGAGAGATGCAGCAGCAGAAAAACGAGAGGTCGTGTTCTGGAACGGGGGGTGTACCCAGGGTTTAGGGCTTAGGGTTTAGGGTTTAGGGTTTAGGGTTTAGGGTTTAGGGTTTACGGCCTCTTGCTGCCTCCTCTGCTCTGCTGCTTCTAGGGTTTGGACTTCTATTAGCTGCTGCAGCCGCTCTCTCTCAAATGCTTCCCGCTGCTGCTTTATTGCCAGCAGCTCGTCTTGTTGCAGTACCTAGGCAAAAACCCCAAACCCTAAACCCTAAACCCTAAACCCTAAACCCTAAACCCTTCGGGACAGCTGCGCCTGCCCGCGGCACGGTCATTTCAGAATTAGGGTTTAAAGCCGCGAGCTTTAAGTGCACAGGGTTTTAAGTGGAAAGCGCAGGGTTTAGGGTTTAGGGTTTAGGGTTTAGGGTTTAGGGTTTGGAGGCGAGGACCAACTTCATTCAAACTCTGCTCAATAACTCGGCCTATTAAAACTTCCAGCACCGGCACGACTTCCCTGAACGCAGCCGCCAAACCCTAAACCCTAAACCCTAAACCCTAAACCCTAAACCCTAAACCCTAAACCCTAGACCTCGAGCCATTCCTTTTTCAGTTTAGTTTGCAGCAGTTCGTGTCTGGCAGCCCTCAGGCCGCTCTCCTCAGCCGCTGCAGCGTGCGCTAGGGTTTAGGGTTTGCGGGCTAGGGTTTAGGGTTTAGCTAGGGTTTAGGGTTTAGGGTTTACTCGTCGAAGTCGAAAAGGTCTCCGTCCAGAATTTGCGTGTTTGCGTCGACCAGTTCCGAACGAAGAGCCACCAAAGGCGATAAGGGTTTGTCTTTTAAAATTAGGGTTTGAGTTGCTGCTTCGACTTCTTTTGCTGCTGCAGTGAGGCACACAATATGCGGGTCTGTCTGCAGCGCCACGTCTCGTGCTGCAGATACAGCTGCGGCACTGTTGCCCTCTGAGCCCCCAGCAGCCTTTCCCGCAGCAGAATGGAAGACGACGGCGCCGCAGCCACGTGTTGTTGCTGCGCAGCAGCAAACCCTAAACCCTAAACCCTAAACCCTAAACCCTAAACCCCCGCTCCCTGGGCCTTCTCCAGCCCAAACCGTAAACCCTAAACCCTAAACCATAGAAAGAGTGCGCCGCAGACGACTGCAGGGTTTTAAGCTCAAACCCGCTGCCCCTGAGGACCACGGGTCTAGGGTTTAGGGTTTAGGGTTTAGGGTTTAGGGTTTAAGCAGGGCTGCTGCGAATTTGCAGTAAACTCCCAGGTAGAAGCGAACAATAAATGTGCATTTAAAAATAAAAGCATTTAAAAACAAAAACAATCTGAGATAAATACATTTTAAAATAAATATATTTTGAAATAAATATATTTTGAAATAAATGTATTTTGAAATAATAAAAATTGAAATTAATAGTTCTGCATTTGTTTCTGGAGTGTCTGTACACCTGAAGCAGCTTGAAAGGAGCGCCTCGGAAGACTCTTCGGTCCGCCATAATGTTGCAGGGTCTCTCTCTGGCAGCAGCAGCAAACCCTAAACCCTAAACCCTAAACCCTAAACCCTAAACCCTAAGCCCTAAGCCCTAGGCCTGCAGCTGAGCTTTAGGCTGTGAAACGGAAGCCTGCAGTGCCTCAGCAGCAACTGCTTTGGGGTTTACAAACCGCTTAGTACGCTCTGCAGAAAGAATTAGGGTTTAGGGTTTAGGGTTTAGGGTTTAGGGTTTAGGGTTTAGGGGTTACGGGGGTCTTGGGAGACGCCTGCTCGTCGCCGAGCTTGTGGGGGGAACCCCCCTCCTGCTTACGGCCGCCATGGCGGCCCCGGCCTGAAGGGTTTAGGGTTTAGGGTTTAGGGTTTAGGGTTTAGGGTTTAGCGCTTGGGGGTGATTGTAATGTAGGCAGCTAGGCTTGGGCCCTTGTCTAGCTGCCGGCTGAACAGAAGGCCTTAGACCCTAAACCCTCGAGCGTCGCTATAAACCCTGCAAACCCTAAACCCTAAACCCTAAACCCTAAACCCTAAACCCCAATTATTTATTCTTCCGCGGGAGTCCACCGTGCCCGGGAGCAGCAGGAGCTGCATGCGCGTAAACCCTAGTTTAGCCGTCAACCCTGCAAGTTAAACTTTAAACCCTAAACCCTAAACCCTAAACCCTAAACCCTCAACAGAAAGCACAAATAACTTAATAGAGCTAAAGAGAAATAGTTTTCACTTTGCAGCTTTTTGCTATCTTCTCTTCAGGGTCACTTGGGGGCCCCGTGGGGCCCCCAGGCCTGAAGGCTCAACACTAAACCCTAAACCCTAAACCCTAAACCCTAAACCCTCGAGTTTCTATTTTGATATTAAAATAAGACAAATTGCTCCAAAATGCTGCAAAATGCTTAAAAGAAGTACAAAGACAAAGCTAGGCCAACACTCAGCTGCCCACGAGGGTTTAGGGTTTGAGGGTTTAGGGTTTGAGGGTTTAGGGTTTGGAGGAGCGCCGCTGCTCGCTAAGTGGCCCCAAAGAGCAGCAAAAAAGAAATAATAAAATATAAATAAATATAAATAAATTAATTTTTAATTTATAATTCAAAAGGCTTCAAAAATCAGACAGAAAGCTCTATTGAAACCCAAGTGTCCACGCAGCAGCAGCCGCCGTCGTTATTGTTGCTGCTGCTGCTGTTGCTGCTGCTGCTGCTGTTGCTGCTGCTGCTGCAGCAGCAGATCAGAACACGTCTAGCAGCAGCTGCAGCACTCGCAGCTTTCCCGCTGCTGCTGCCACCGCAGCTGCTGCAGCAGCGCTGCTGCAGCAGCAGCCTGCTGCTGCTGCTGCAGCTGCAGCACACCGAAGGCGCGTCTTTGCTGCGGTGCGCTGCTGCAGGCTGGTTGTTGCTGCTGCTGCTGCTGTTGCTGCTGCTCTTGTTGGTGCTGCTGCTGCTGCTGCTTTTGCCGCTGCTGCTGTTGCACACTTCTACAGCTCCCTGATCGCCTTTCAAAGAGGCTCCACCCACGGCTTGCTAGTCTTCCAGCTAGCTAGCTAGCTAGCTAGCTAGCTAGCTAGCTAGCTGGCTAACTACATAGCTAGCTAGCTAGCTAGCTAGCTAGCGGACACAGCTAGCCCCAAGCACGCTAGCTCGTCATCTAATTATCTCGTAACCGCCGGACCCGCCCACGCGCCAGCTAGCTAGCTAGCTAGCTAGCTACCCAGCTAGCTGGCTAGTTGGCTAGCTAGCTAGCTAGCCAATTAGCTAGCTAGCTAGCTAGCTAGCTAGCTGGTAAAGGGGAGGCTTGCTGCATAGCTGGGAGGCCAGCCAGCTACCTGCGGCGCTCTTCGCAGCTGCTGGCCTCTTCACCAGCATAAGTCTAAGTGGCTGCACCCTACGCGCTGTTGCTGCTGCTGCTGCTACTGCTGGCGCGGCTCTTCAGGCGCCGCAGCAGCTTCTCGGCAGGCTCGCTGCGGGCTAGCTAGCTGCGGGCCAGCCGCTCCTCAGCAGCTAGACCCCTCCCCAGCTATCCAGCTAGCTAGCTAGCTAGCTAGCTAGCTAGCTAGCTAGCTAGCTAGCTAGCTGGCTGGATAGCTAGCTAGGTGGCTAGCTGGCCAGCTAGCCAGCCCGCTCTCCAGCTAGCTAGCCAGCTAGCTAGCCAGCTAGCTAGCTAGCTGGATGTCTAACTAGCCGTCTCTTGTGGCAGCTCGCCTGCAGCTCATCCCTATGCTGCCCACCTCGCTAGCTAGCCAGCTAGCTAGCCAGCTAGCTAGCCAGCTAGCCAGCCAGCTAGCCAGCCTGCTAGCTAGCCAGCTAGCTAGCCAGCTAGCTAGCCAGCTAGCCAGCCAGCTAGCCAGCCAGCTAGCCAGCTAGCCAGCCAGCTAGCTAGCTAGCTAGCTAGCTAGCTAGCTGGGGCCTCCTTGGAAAGCAAAATATAAGAGGGGGGGCTGTTGGGGCCCCGGGGGCGCTGCTGCTCAGCTGTAGATACACCCGAAGGCTCGGTGTGGGGCCCCTCGGGAGCAGCTTGGGTCTCCTCTGCGGGGCCTGCTCGCAAACCCTAAACCCTAAACCCTAAACCCTAAACCCTAAACCCTAGACCGCAAGCCCTCAGTGAGCGCTGAAGCTGAAGGCCGGGCCGCAGCGCCTGGCGGCTGCGTGGCGGCGGCTTCCCCCCGCTCCCAAACCCTAAACCGCAAACCCCAAACCCCAAACCCTAAACCCTAAACCCTAAACCCTAAACCCTCACGGGGCTGCTGCTTGGCGGGGGGCTCCTCGTCGCTGCTGCCGACTGCGGCCTCCCAGACGGCCAGGCGGGCCTCGTGGGCCCTTCGCTGGGCCTCGAGAAAGGAGTTGTGGGGTGGAGACGATCCCAGGGGAGACGATCCCAGGGGAGACGATCCCAGGGGAGACGATCCCCGCGGAGACGATCCCAGGGGAGCCGATCCCACGGGAGACGATCCCAGAGCAGCAGCGCCGCGGCAGCAGCGCAGCAGCGCGTAAACCGCCAGGCAAAAAGTCCCCAAACACACCAAAAACCAAAAGAAATAAGCCGCTGCACACGCCAAACCCTAAACCCTAAACCCTAAACCCTAAACCCTAAACCCTAAACCCTAAAGCCTAAACCCTCACGCACCCGCCGCCAGCAGCACGCGCCGCTGTCGCGCTCAGCGTCCTTGCGAATTAGGGTTTGGGGATTATTAGGGTTTAGGGTCTACGGTTTAGGGCCTAGGGTTTAAGGCCTAGGGTTTAGGGTTTAGGGGTAGGGTTTAGGGTTTAGGGTTTGGCACCTTTGTCTCGTTCGCCCCAGGTGCTGTAGACGACTTGAGGGCTTTTGCGGGGGTAGGAGCTGTCTTCAAACATCTGAGCGCAAACCCTAAACCCTAAACCCTAAACCCTAAACCCTAAACCCTAAACCCTTCGTCTTTGCTTCTGACGCGCCAACGACGGCCCTTGAGGAACCTGCGTGAAGCCGCAGGCCTAGGGTTTAGGGTTTAGGGTTTAGGGTTTGCAGACCTCGTGGACTCCGTTTGCAGCAGACAACTCTTGTAGCTCGTCGGCCAACTTCTCTGCAGACACAAACCCTCGCCTAGGGTTTAGGGTTTTCAGGGTTTGGCGCTTAGGGCTTGCACAACGCGCCTAGGGTTTAGGGTTTAGGGTTTAGGGTTTGCAGGCAGCGCCCGCGCGCATGGCGGACGGCGCCAGAGCCGCCGCCGCGGGCGCAGCCCGCCCCACGCCGTGGGCTAGGGTTTAGGGTTTAGGGTTTAGGGTTTAGGGTTTAGGGTTTACGGGGCGAAGAACCCTTTCTTTCTTCGAGGAAAAAGCTGGGACAAGAGGCATTAATGGCTCCAATTCGGTCTCTGTCTCTGTCGAAAATAATTTGTTTATGTTTGAAAAAAGAAAGTCCCAAAACACTTTCTTGAATGTGGTTGTCGTCCAGCCCGTCGCACCAAAACCTGCGCCAAACCCTAAACCCTAAACCCTAAACCCTAAACCCTAAACCCTAAACCCTAACCGCTGGCTCTTCGCCCGAAACCCTAGCCCGGAACCCGGAACCCTATCCCTGAATCCAAAGCCCTGGGATATAAACCCGAGACCTGAAACCCTGAACCCTAAACCCTAAACCCTAAACCCTAAACCCTAAACCCTAACCCTGGACCCCGGCACCAAACCCTGAATCGGGGAGTAGATGCAGCTCAAGATAAACCCTTAGCTTTGTTGAGCCGCCGCGGATCGCTGCAAGAATTGGGGTTTAGGGTTTAGGGTTTTCTCCGCATCGCCTAGGGTTTAGGGTTTAGGGTTTGCTTCGCCCCTCATCCGCCTAACAACCAACAACTTAGGGTTTAGGGTTTGAAGCAGCCACAGCTTCTTCTGCACAGCCTGAAAACTTAGGGTTTAGGGTTTAGGGTTTAGGGCCACAGGCTTTTCTGGGAAGGTAGCTCTGGGCCATCCAGAAAACCCTTAGGGTTTAGGGTTTAGGGTTTAGAACATATCCTGAACTCTCGCAGCGCTAGGGTTTAGGGTTTAGGGCTTGCTGACCCCTCTGCTATAAGGCATTGGTACCTCTGTGGAATGCACCCCAGCACCTGGTGTTTAGGGTTTAGGGTTTAGGGTTTAGGGTTTAGGGTTTCTGCACCCTCCAGTCCTGCAGTAGTGGGGCACCCACCTGCCCACTCCCTGCCCAGTGCCTTCCACTTAACTCTTAGGGTTTAGGGTTTAGGGTTTAGGGTTTAGGGTTTACATAGCTCCGAGGGTTTCCCAAACAACCTTTCCTGTTCCCTGGCAGCTGTCACCCCTCCATCGCCTTCTCAATAATGCCCTCTGTTTAGGGTTTAGGGTTTAGGGTTTAGGGTTTAGGGTTTAGGGTAGGGTTTAGGGTTTAGGGTTTAGGGTCAAACCCTCCAGTTCTCCTGTAAAGATAGCTTTGAGGGGTCCAAACCACCTTTCCCCCCCCCTTAAAGGTCAAAGTGATGTTGGGGAGTCGCTCTTTCACCCAGTGCGCTCTGATTAGGGTTTAGGGTTTAGGGTTTAGGGTTTACAAACCCTCCAGTTCTCCTGTAAAGATAGCTTTGAGGGGTCCAAACCACCTTTCCTCCCCCCTTAAAAGTCAAAGTTATATTCGGAAGTTGGCCAAAAAAGTCCTTCGAAGAAAACCTCCAACAAGGTCTTCCGTCTTTTTCTTTTTGGCAAAACAAAGAAGCCACGCAGTAGCGGGAAAGGAGTTTTCTCCAGGCCCCAAACACTGCGGGGGGGAAGTACGAGTAAGTCGTGCCTGCAAACCCTAAACCCTAAACCCTAAACCCTAAACCCTAATCTGTCAGCGAAGCCATGCACTAGCGAGACAGCAGCCGCCACGAGGCATTAAGCACAGCGGCTGGAAACAGGAACACGTCTTTCCTCCTCAAACCCCAAACCCTAAACCCTAAACCCTAAACCCTAAACCCTAAACCCTAAACCCTCGTACCTGAGTCGACGAGGGTTTTGCCGAAGGCGTGTTCGCCAAGCCCTAGGGTTTCGCCGTCAGCCTCCATTTTTGCAATTTGAACTCTGTAAGCAGCTCGGGAGGTTAAGGAAGTCCAGGCAATATGCAAATTAGGGTTTAGAGAAGTGTGAGGGTTTAGGGTTTGGGGCTGGCTAGGGTTTAGGGTTTGGGGCTCGCTAGGGTTTAGCGAAAACCCCGGAAACGCCGGAGACACCGCCGAAGAGCCAGACCCTAAACCCTCGTAAGTCACCAACGAAGGCTCTATGCCCCCCACCGTCAGCAAACCCCCGTCTTCTGCAGCCGCAAACCCTAAACCCTAAACCCTAAACCCTAAACCCTAGGCCCTCAACCCTAAACCCTCGCGCGACCCAGCGGCACTCGGGAAGATCCTCGCCCACGCTAAACCCTAGAATGTCCCGCCCCAGCCTCCAAACCCCGCCTCTGAAGCCTCCCAAACCCTAAACCCTAAACCCTAAACCCTAAACCCTAAACCCTAAACCCTCGCGCACCGGATATGCAAATGGAGAAGATCCTCTCCTGCACTAAACCCTTTTCAAAAATAATGTCCACCAAAGTTGGCTGCCGAAAACCCTTGGGAAAAGAAACCCCAAAAATGCCTGAGGCCTTCTGCGTTACAAACAAGGATGTCTCCCGCACGTGGCAGCCTGCACGCAAACCCTAAACCCTAAACCCTAAACCCTAAACCCTAAACCCTAAACCCTAAACCCTCAGCCCTAAGCCCTGAATTCTAAACCTTGCCCAGGCGGCCTGGCCCGGGCGTCTGCCTTGCTGGGCCGCAGCTGCGCCTCCTGAGGGCTGGCGCCTGGGCGGCCGAGGGTTTAGGGTTTAGGGTTTAGGGTTTAGGGCTCACCAATGAAGTCATATTGGATGCTAGGGTTTAGCTCGTCGGGGCCCCCAAGAGCCACTTGGTCTGAAAAGTAGGCCCCCGATATGCTGCTGCCTTCGCTATAGGTTTGGGTATAGCCGCAGCTTCTGCTGTCTTGGGGGCCCCCGGGGGCCCCCTCGGGGGCCCCCGGGGGGCCCCCCTGGGGGCCCCCCTGGGGGCCCCCCTGGGGGCCCCCCAGCCGCTGCCGCCCAGTGCAAGTCCCGAAGCATCTTTTGCTGTCTCTACAGCTCACCCAGGAGCCGCTGGAGGACAAAGAAGGATTAAAGAGGGCATCGAGGTGGCTGCCGCAGTGTTCGCAGCCTGCAGCAGCAGCAGCAGCAGCAGCAGCAGCAGCAGCAGCAGCAGCAGCGGCAGCGGCAGCTGTGGGGCGTTCGCGGAAGCAGCAGCAGCGGCCGCCACGCGCAGCGGCAACGAGCAGCACCGCGCAGCACCGCAGCAGCAGCAGCAGCAGCAGCAGACTCGGCAGTGCAGCGGGAAACCAGCCAGAAGCTGCCTTCAGCAGCAGCAGCAGCAGCAGCAGCAGCAGCAGCAAATTCGCCAGCGCACGGGAAAGCCAGCAGGAGGCTCCCTGCATCTGCACCAGCAGCAGCAGCACTAGCGGCAGCAGCAGCAGCAAACCCTCCCGCGCAGGAACTGCCAGCAAGAAGCTGTCAGCAGCAGCAGCAGCAGCAGCAGCAGCAGCAGCAGCAGCAGCAGCAGCAACAGCAGCAGCAGCATCCCCATCATCATCACCATCACCATCACCATCCCCATCCCCATCATCACCATCATCATCACCATCATCACCAGCAGCATCATCACCAGCAGCAGCAGCAGCAGCAGCAGCAGCAGCAGCAGCAGCAGCAGCAGCAGCAGCATCCCCATCATCACTATCCCCATCTCCATCCCCATCACCATCACCATCATCACCATCACCATCACCATCATCACCAGCAGCAGCAGCATCATCACCAGCAGCAGCAGCAGCAGCAGCAGCAGCAGCAGCAGCAGCAGCAGCAGCAGCAGCAGCAGCGGCGTGCCTGTGCAGGGGAAGGCGAGCAGCGAGCTGCCGGTGTCCAAAATGACACTTTGCCGCTGCGGCGGAGACCCCACGAAGACGTCGAGGAAGTAATAGGCGTAGGAGAACATGGAGCCAAACAGCCGGGCCCGCAGCACGCGGCCAGCAGCAGCAGGCAGTGCAGCAGCAGCAGCAGCAGCAGCAGCGGGAGCTGCAGCAGCAGCAGCAGCAGCAGCGGGGGGGGGAGCGGGAGCTGCAGCGGCGGGGGGGGAGGCGGGAGATGCAGG